ATTCTTAGACCTCGACTCATTAGTATTCATTAAATGGAGGCACACTAATTGCGATTCACTGTGTAATATAAATTTAAATTATCAAATTAAAAATATAAATTTAATATTAATATGACGTTAAAAATTTTTAGGAATCCGGTTTGATTCGAATCAATTCGAATCAAGTCACGAATCAAATCAAATCAAATCAAATTGACTACAGAACGAATCGAATCGAATCGAATCACTCTCAAATTTGATTTGATTCGATTCGTTCGGAGCCTTACTTTTAAAATTATAGGCTTAATTTAATAAACTGATGGCTCTTTTATATTTAATTAAGTTATTGGTTAAATATTTCTAAAGCTCTTTGTACTAAAATAGTATCATAATCTTGAGTAGTAGTTTTCTATTCAAATAAGGTTTATTTGAATAAAACAAATAATTCGAATAAAGCAAATAAAATGAATAAAGTGAATAAAATGAATAAATTTGAATAAAACAAACAATGAATAAAATTGAGCAAAGTGAATAAATTTGAACAAAACAAATAAAATGAATAAGATGAAAATTACAAATAGAAACCATGCATTAATATTAAAATCAAAAAAACAACAATAAATAAACAAACAAATAGATTTTATTGCAAGATAATTAATTTTGTTTCCTTTGGTGTTAACAATTGAATCAATCATATGAGTAGGAGTAGTCAATTTAAACCCAATCGTATATAAATTTCCAAATGCGGTAAAAATTCATACAACCTGTACTATGGAAATTTTGCATGCATGATTTATAACCAAATTCGATTGATTATACTTCATGATGAAAAATTTTCATCCAGGAAAACTTATATAAGCAAAAACAATGTCCACTTCTGCAACAACAAATGTTTCCTACACTCTTCCTGCATATGATATAGTAAAAGATTGGGATACAAGTACTCTTATTGGTTTTTTACGTGAGAAAATAAAGAATTATGATCAATACATAGATATCCTTGAGAGTAAGGTTGTGGGCGAAACCTCCTTAGTAATTGCTGAAACCACGGCAAAACTATATTAAATCTTATCAAAAATCCTGTTGAAACTATGCCGAAATGGCGAAACCTCAAAATGTGAAACTCTGCCGAAACTCTAATAAACAATTAATGTGTAACCTGCCGAAACCCTGCTGATTGATTTCTGTATGAGTTTTGGCAAGCAACCTTACTTGAGAGTCAATTTATCGATGGTCAAGCCTTTTTTACCTTGAATATAGAAGTTCTTACTAATTATCCGTTCAATCTGCCATATGGTGTAGCAGTGAAAATCGCAGAATGGGTTAAAAGACTTGATAAAGAGCAAGGTAATAAACTAATCAACACAAGCGGAAGCATCCTGACTTATCTTTTAGACATTTCTTCAATATTTATCTTCTAACCACCTTTTATACTATTCTATTTTTATCAGAACTAACTGAAGAAATTCCTGGCGTGCTTATTAAATTTCTTCAGAATGCTTCCAGTATAACAGAAGAAAACAATGTCATTAGTCTAGCGCAAGAATCTTTTTTTCTCAGCAGGCGACTAAAACTTTATATCCGACCCTGCTGGCATCAACTTCTTCAACTTGTGTTAAATTGTGGGAGACCTCGTGTCTATATTGGTGGGACTCCTGGTTGTAGCAAAACATGCTTTGGAGACTTTCTTATTACTGAATTGATCAAGAGAAACTATACAGTTGTCATTCAAACTGTTCGTAAACCAAATCTCCTATACATTTGTCAAAATGGAAGAGCTATCTCATGTGATGTTGGTAAATCTTCAATCGAAGCATTAGAAAATTTGAACAATTGGTACATCTGTGATGGAGTAAAACCATGTTATGCAAATGCGAGATCGGTTCTAATTTCTTCCCCTTGGGAAGACATCAGAAAAGAATTTATGAAATGGGATGATGACCCAAGGAAAGATTTGCCAAGCTTACCTGAATGCTTCTATATGCCAACATGGTCATTTGCTGAATTAATGGATTGTCGTGAACGATGCTATCCAAATCTAAGTATAAACAGTCTTCGTTCATTATTTACAAAGTGGGGAGGTGTTCCTCGATTTGTCTTTGCAGAAGATCAGTCAGATTATGAGCTCAATATGGCAATTTCTCAAACTAATTGGAAGTTGGTCAAAGAATATGTTGGCAAAATTGATTGCCCTTCGGAAATTGCCCACAAGGTTGTGCACTTTTCTGTCTCAGATGATTTAAAACAATATCATGTCATTTTTGCTTCACTGTATGTTTCTTGGTTGGTCATGGCTCAACTATCGAAACAGGAAAGGAGGGATGTATTACGATGGCTTCGCACATCAGCAGGGTCTTGAGAGAAAGCATCTTTCCGAGGTTATGTTTTTGAAAGCATGGTTCATAACATATTACAAAATGGTGAATTCGTAAACTGAGTGAGAGTAGTGAAGAACCTGAAGAAGAAACTACATTGAATTTGGACCCTTCTAATGGATTAGAGGTATGAATTGCCAGTTTCTTTTTACAACGGATACTTGATGGTTACTGATGGTTACATTAATTATATAGATTTTTTATGATACCAAGGAGCTAACCAAACAAAAAATATACTATGTTCCATATGCCAAAAATTTTGCGGCTATCGATTCAATTCAATTATTCGATAATGGTCCTGATCATTTGTACCAGTCCACTGTATCTGAACATCACAACGTAAAGAACTCTGTGCGCTCTGCTATCCGCTCCAGTAAACAAATTCATTTCTATTTTGTTGTACCAAAGGAGGTCTTTCCACGTTTCAAGTATAATCAGAATTTTCTTAATGAAAATGGTACACCATATTGCAACCAACCTGGATGGTTGTGCAAAATTACACAATTTGTCTTAGAGATAGATTGGGATGCATACATTGCTTTGGGTGAAGATGGGTAGATTAGATGCTGTCTGTACATTCTGGTTTTGTGTTTTTCATATATAATTAGTATCATGAAAGCTAGTTGTTATTCGATGTCAAATTTTATTACAAATAGAATGTAGTTCTTGTTTCATGTCAAAATAAATAAGCCAAAAAGTTTACATTGCTAAAATTAATTAGATCTTTCCAGTTCATCCTTCTCAAGTATTTAGATCACCGATTTGGAAAAAAACTTTCCCATTGTTCTTAACTACACCACAGAGGCAGATAAATGATGCTGAATTTTACAGGATCCTCCAAGAGATAAGAACTGGAACTTTGTCAGTTAAAAGCAAGCAAATAATCCAAACAAAAATTAATCAAGAAATTGACCTTTATGATACCACACATGTGGTCGGCACTCAAAAAGCAGCTCAATCTCTCAACACAATATTCTTTAATCACCTTCCTTTTGACGAAACATGCTGGTTTCTGAATGCATAGACACACTGGAATTTGAAATAACAAATGATGGTCATTCAATTGCTCAGTTCAAAAACTTAACAAACTTGCCTCATAAATTGTATTTACAAGAAGGTGCACGTGTGATGTTTCTTAATATAAGCTATTTGATGAAAAAATATACAATGGAACTATTGGAATAGTGACAAAAATTTATGATGAAGAGAATGTTGAGGTGACCTTTCCTACCTTGGCCAGCATAAGCAAGGTTATTGTCCAAAGAGAAACATTTTACTTTGAAGTTTATGGCAAGAGAGCATCAAGGAATCAATTTCCTCTTCAGAATGCATTTGCTCTGACTGTTCATAAAACTCAAGGATTGACCTTGCCACATGTAACATTGAATGTTGACGAAAGTATGTTTGCTGAAGGGCAAGTGTATGTTGCAATGAGTCGAGCTCCCTCATTGGAAAAACTGCAAATCCTTGATTTTGATTATTCTCAATTAAAAATTTCCAGGGCGGCTTTGGAAGAGTATAAAAGATTGGAGGCTGTGAGAATTGATGGGTTACAAAAACTAACAACACTGTAAAAAAAAGTATTTGTAAAAAATTGAATGTAATTAAATCGTGATGTATTAAATTTTTAAATTTTGAAAAAATTCCACGCTGATGCTTGTGTAATGTGATGGTTACACGAACCCGCCGCAACCTATATGATGTAATAATTATATAATAATAATAAACCTTAAATTTCACATTATCAATGTAATATTTAAATTCTAGATGTGATAAGATTTACTACTTATCCTTTTTAAAAATAGAATAAAAAATATCATTAAAAAGAGTACCTACATCGTACAACACGTAAGAAAATTTTTAAAACAAAATAAAACGATGGGTAATTATAATAATATTGATAATAAATTGTTGCAATGGCAAGTAGTATTGTTACTAACTTAGTTGCTTCTAATAATAAAAGCACAACGATCAAAACAATTATATCGTTTACGTATAAGAATTTTGTTTGAAGAAGCCGAGGATCGTTTTTTGTTTCATGGAGCAGGTGACATGAACCTGACGGAATTTAAAATGCAAGTGATCGAATATTGCTTGCGAAGAAATGAAGGAGTTACAAGAGAGTGAGTGAGGATTCATTTATTTATTATATAAATATATAAAATGAAATGGTAATATTAATTCAATTCTTTTTGTTAAATAACAGTATGATGGATGATGTCATATTAGTTACCGAGGATGGTAACGAGGTTACAAGATTTGCCAATGAAACAAGTTGGCTTAAGTTGAAGGATTCATTTAGGAATAATGAACCTATTGTATTTGTAACGAAACAATCAAATAGTATTTTATATACATATGATAAAGATCTATGTAAGTTATCTAAAAAAATTCAATTAATTAATTCTTTGTTTATTCATTAACATGTCTCCCATTCATTAAATATATTTTTAAACTGACCATTAGATCAAGACAGTCCGTTTTCAGAATTAAACGTACATGGAAAACGAACACATGACAATGTTGATGACGATTGTACACCACAATACTATATAAGAAACAAAAAATTTAGATCATCACAAATTTTCAAATCATTTGCTAGCAAAGAAGCAAGCTCTTCGTCTGATATAGAATCAACCGATGATTCCTCTGATAGTGAAAAAGAAGAAGAAGAAGAAGAAGAAGAAGAAGAAGAAGAAGAAGAAGAAGAAGAAGAAGAAGAAGAAGAAGAAGATGATGATGATGATGATAATGATAATGAAGAAGAAGATGATTATGATAATGATAATGAAGAAGATGATGATAGTGATATGATTTCATCAAATTCTGATACATCCTCAAATACTGATAAATCTTCTTCAAGTGAATATGATGATAATGATGATAATGATGATAATGATGATAATGATAATAATGATGATAATGACAATTCATAACTTGATAATCTTGAATATTTATTAAACAATCCACACTCTTTTGTCCAAAATGGACACGAAAAAAACATTTTGATAATAATAAAAATTGTTTTTTTTTTTTTTTTTTTTTTTTTTTGTAAAAAGTAAGTTTTATGTTATTAATGCAAATTATGTAGATAATCTTCAAAAAAATTTTTTGAATTTTTAAATATCTTATTTTATCTTTAAAAAAATCGTTAAATATTTTATTAATAATCGTATTATCATCTAATAAAGAGCAGTGAATAATAAACTGAATAATAATAATAATAATAAATTATTATTTAAAAATAGGTATATGTTGCGGATATACATAAAGTATTGAAACAACATTTAAAAAATGATTTTTTTTTTCCATGAATTAAAAATTCCAAACTAATGTATTTTTTTATATTTTTTATCTTGGGAATTTTCATTAATTAGTAGATTAATAAATAGGATTAAAGAATACTTTAGAAAATCATCATCATCGAAAAAAAAACCTCCAGTAATAAAGATATCCATACATGATAGAATCGTCATATTTGGACACATTTCAAAGACCACATAATTAGAATCGGATTTCTCATCATTTACCAAGAAATTATTATTAAAATTAGCATCAATATTTGGATATGGTTTGATACCGACCGATACATGCTATGAGAATAACAAGAGAATTATATCAAAACAAATGGATGATTAAAGCTCCGAACGAGCCGAGCTCGAGTTTGATGTTATATAATTTTTTTTTAGGTAACGAATGATTAATCCTATCTGCTATTGTTTCATAATATTTTTATCCTATTTGGACTCAACTCGAACTTGAAAATTCGAGCTTTAATTCGAGCAAGTCTGCTCAACTTGGCGAATAAAACGAATAACCGAGTTGTATTACTATAACTATTACGAATAATTCAACGAATTATGAATAAATTCGCGTTACAATGAATTTTTAAAAACATAAATGCAATTTTCATACGTTTGACTGCATGCGTATATTCCAGAACCTAAAAAACATTTTCTAGTTGGAAAAAGATATTGTTAAAACACAGAATTGTTCTCATTTGAAATTTTCGTATGATAATTTAAATGTGCTCTAAAATTCTGCATGTTACTATAGCTTATTATTGCTTCAATTATTTTCAGTGGTTTGTAAATCGTAAATTTGTATTAACTTTAAAGTTGACTCGGGTTCGAGCCAACACTTTTTTTTATATGTAATGTAGCCCGGCTCGTTCGGAACTTCAATTGATATAATAATGAAAGAATAAAAAAATAATAAAAATTCTATAACTCAAATAATAATACTAATACCATACAAGAATGAATCGATAATACTCGATGGTAAAATGAACCTATTTTTAAATAAATAATAATAATAGTATATGCATTCTTAATTCTTAATCGGACCTCACATGCAGTGAATTTATGCCCGCTACCTCCCGTCGAAGAATCAGTAACGTTCTATACAAGCAATTGCATGTTCTTGGGATGGATCAAATATGTTCGAGTTGGTATACTTGATCTTATGTATTCAGAATTAGGTGATCAAGAGTTAAATCAAATTGCTGATGATTTAATTAATGATCGGAAAAGATTTAGTTAATAATAATAATAACAATAACAATAGTAATAACAACAACAAATCCGGTTGCTATATTTCAATCGGATTTTTCAAAAATGAACCGGAGAATTGGACTGTATGGTGCATTACGCTTTTGTTTTTTCTGTTCATGTTTGAATGAATTTGTTTAAATAAATCACAAAATGAGTTAAATTTTGTAATAGGTAATAGGGCCTTATAATAATATAGTGATTAAAATAATGATAGATAAAATAAACTTTCCAATTTACGTGTAAATGAGAAATCTATTGTTTGCTTAAATATTCTAAATATTGTTATTTTGTTTTTTTTTTCAAATTCTTTTATGAAAAAATGTCAAAACCTAATAATGACAACAACAACAACAACAACAACAACAACAACAACAACAACAACAATAATCCTTTGAAAAACACGTTCGATGACCTTGACAATAGAACTAAAGCAATACTTGTCAACACCAAGAAAAGACGTGGAAAATCATCCATGAAAGATAACTTGAATACTGTTAAAGAGTTTTGTATTGATCATAAATAACATTAGGAAGCTGTTTTTTAGCAATAATATCGATATTGACGACAATAATCATATTGTTATTAGATTAGAAGCAATATTCCAAAAAATATTAAATATATTAAAGGAAGAGGTGAAGTTGATGATTTGCTCTGTTCTTTCTTCTTTTCTTCTTCTTTTTCTTAAGGCTCATCTTTTTATTTGATTAGTTGAAAAATCCATTTCACTTTTATGAAATAGACATGAGCTTGTTTAAACAATTGATAAATAACATAAATAACATTAAAAATGTTTCAAGTGAATTACAAGATTTTCAAGAAATCAATAAATCTTCCATTGAAGTTTTAAGTTACTTAATAATGATAGCAATTGATAATAAAGGCTCATTAAAACATTACAATGGATACGATAATGGGAAAGTAGAAGATAATGATGAATGTGAAAAACTTTTGATCGAGGCATTGTCACAAATCGATGTAATTCCTTTTTTTTAAAAAAAATAAAAAGTCAATAATTAAATTAATTATTAACTTTTTTTTTTTTGAATTTTATAGAATTCTATTCAACAAGATGACGGAGGTAAAAAATCCATTGTTAATAAGTTATCTATGTTGTTATTTATTTTCATAATAACAACAATATTTATATATATATATATTCTAGTTAGGGTTATCTTGGGTAAAAGTTACTTGAAACTTTTTATTGAAATTTTATTAAATTTGTCGTTGTCTATCGATGTTAGGAAAGCGGTAATTATTGTACAATATAGATGTAATCTTTTTTCTTTTTTTTTTCTCTCTTAATAAATAAATGTAAAATATTTTAGACGGGTAATGTTATTAATGACTTGTTAACGGGATGTAAAGAAAATAAAAAACTTCTAAATCAAGAAAATTTCTTTGATATGTATGTATCTTTTTTATTATCATCATTATATATGTATTGATGTTGATATTGATATTGATATTAAGCCATGACTTTATTTTTTATTTTTTAGTCCAAAACTAGCATCTTCGATGATTTTTGCATCAGGTAGCGTTTAATATTTTAACTTTATATATTAATAAGAAATAAACTAATATTTATTTTATTTTTTGTAAGATTATGAACTTCAGCTTCGTCACCTTGAAATATTTTTCAGAATATGCCCCAAAGTTTCTGAAGACAGATTGACATTTGCGGCCAAAGTATTTGTAAACTACAACAAACTGATTAATAAATTCTTGAATATAAAGGCGAATGATTTTGAAGAAGTAACAATAATAATTATATTAATAAATAAAATATTTATAAAATATTTATAATGTTTTATAACATTCTTTATCCTTAGGATACACGTAAATTCTTGAATGAAGTAAATTCTTCTAATGATGGAGTTACTAGAACGTATGCATTTTGTAAATTAATAATTATATATTAAAACTTTTTTAAAAAAACATTAATTTGTTCTTGTTTTTATTTGATAGACCTAAAACATTTAAAGTATCAAATATTAAATATAATAGCACAAAACTTTTATGTCCCGAAGGAAAAAATTATTTTTATGTGGATTTTAATAAATGGTCAATTTCTTTAAATATCAAATCATTAGAGGTTCTTGTTATTATTTATATTGCCTAATCTTATATGTTTTTCTAAAAATAATAATTTTATAGTTTTTATAATAATTATTATTATATGTATGTAGTTCAATGAATCCGTCGAAAATGAAACCATTGATATTAAATTTTCAAAGATTTCATCATGGACTTTTGAAAAAAATTTAAAAGGTAAATATGAAACATGTATAATTATCAATACAATTAATTCATATTAATCCATTTATATATTTAATGAAAATAATACACAGAATCAATTCTGATTTTATGTCTTAATGAACCTTTAAAATTGGGCAAACGTGTTTCTTCGAATTCATTAAAAAACAAATCACCATCAATCTACATAACTTTTAAAGATGATTATAAAATCACCACCACAGATGATGAATTGGATTTAAAATATATATTATCAATCATTTTTTTAAATCATAGAATAGTAAGAGAGTTTTACTTTCTTGAAAGTTATTATTACGATTATATTTAAATAGATAAATATATATATATTCGCATTAGCCTGAAAATATAAATGATGCCACAAGTGAATCAAATTATGGAAAAAGTTTAGTCGAAAAGATTGAAAGAAGATTCGATAACAGAACTAATACAATTGGTCAACCGTCGATTAATACTACTAATATTGATGGTAATAATAATAGTGGTAACATTAATCAAAAAATTGAAATCAATAGTCTAAATCTACCACGAACACCAATTAAACAACAAAAGGCAATCTATTATCCGTCACCATATGATAATAATCAATTGATTGAAGATAATAATAATCGTCGATGTACTTTTCCACCTCCATGGAAACAGCGAGCCAAACCTTTAAATTTATCAGCTTCTAAACAAAAACAAGCTGTTGATTTAATAGCATCAAATTTCATAGATAATAGCAGTATGAATGTCGTTTCTAATAATGGTAATGGTAATATAAATTCCCGTTTTTTATTAAATTATTAAATTATTAAATCATTAAATCATTAAATTATCAGATATAAGAATCTATGAAAAAAACAGCAACAACAACAATAATGATACTAAAGGCATGATTGGAATTAATACTGATATTATTGTTGTTGATGACGATGAACCACCAAAAATTACAAGAAAAAATTCATCTTTTTTAAAACGTTTAAAAGAAGCATCGAAAGAATCTTCTGCAACATACCAATCATACCAATCATATCATGTTCAAGGACACCAAAACTTAAACACTGATATTATTAATGCCAATAATAATTATAATGTGGCCAACACTATTAGTAATATTAATCATAGTAATATCAAGGTACCTAAAAAATAACGAAAAAAAGTTTTTTTTCAAAGTTTCAGACTATTTATAAAAAATAATTTTTACAGCATATCGACAACAAATTTATCAATAAAACCGATATTAATCGCATGAGCAATAATAATGTTAATAGTAATATTAACAAGAGAAAAATACAAAATTATATTGATGAAGATATCGAAGATTCCATTTTCAATAAAAGAGAAGAAACTTATTCTGATAAGAAAAAAGTGAAGCTAGTAAATTTGATGAATTTATTTAATTTAATTTAATTTAATTTAATTTAATTTAATTTAATTTGATTTTTTTTAAGTCAAAAATAAACTTGTATATATTCATCATTTATATTTAATAAAGTCGTTGGGGAAATTTTCAAGCTTTAATAGTAGGAAAGCAAGTTCATCAAAGATCAAAGATGCAAATGCCGATTTTTGGAACCCAAGAAATGAACGTGAGCATGAAGAGATCCAATATATTACCGTAGATGATGATGAACCCGGATACGATGAATATAATAATATTAATAATAACAATAATAACAATAAATGTTTTAAAAATAAATCAAAAAACGATTCTGAAGATAAAAATAGACACGGTAAAATTTTTTTTAAAAATACTCGTAATTTTCAAAAGATCCTTTTCCGATTTTATTAAGCGTGCCCGTGCGTTATTTGTCAGTTTCATTTATAAACAAATTAAAAGCATCAAATTACTTACAACAACAACAACCAAACGAATACTGTTATACTTGTACTCAAACAGGTGTATATTTATATATATGTATACATACATACATACATACATACATATATTATGTGTTATTTATCGTTATTTATTAATTTATTAGAATCGCAAGTTTTACATTCTCGTGAATGTTCTCCAACGATTAATTATGACGTTTCAAACTTTGAACAAAAAGACAACGCAAATCGCCATATTATGAATTGTGACAACGACAACGATAACGATGAACCAAAGTATTTCAATGATAAGCGATTATATGATGACAATGACGATGATGATGATGATGATGATGACGATGATGATGACGATGGTGATAGTAATGATGATGGTGATGATAAAGAACATATTGGATATTCAGAAGAAAGTTTAGATGAAGAAATAAGAACATTATTACTAGCTATTGGCGATGTAAGAATTTACTAATTAATATTAACAATAATATATATATATATTATACGTCAATCAACCAATTGGTGTGACTAATAACTAATTCTCATATATAAAAAGACATTCTTTAAAAAATTTCGAAGAGAAGATAACTCTATATTTAAAGCTTCACAAGAGGCGATAAAGAAAAGTGAAGATGAATTTGAACAATCAATTCAAAAGCAATTTCAACGAAAGTATGCAAGTAAATTTTCCATCTCTTTCTCTTGCACTTGTATAACTACTTATTATTTATAAAATTAAAATTTTTTCTGATAAAAAAACAGACGAGATCTCTTTGAATATTATATAAAAACCTACAAATCGATCAGCGAAGAAACCCAAAAGTTTATAGACGAATTAAAAAATGATAAAAGTACGGAAGAAATGGATCAAACTATAATTGAAATGGAGCAGATTGAAGCTGATGATTAATTTTAAAGATTTATTTACACTATGAATATATTATTTGCTGCTATAATAATAAAATTGAATCTAAACTATAATGAATTATATAACACTCTTGAATCAATAATTTTATGACAGATTAAAAAGATTCTATACACACACAGTCAAACATCGTTTAAACGAATCCATAGAACGCATACCAAAATTACTAATCACGTTCCAACGAATTTCATATGTTTTTAAAAAATCGTTTAACGCGAATTTAATTATAATTCGTTAAACGAGGTTTGGCTGTCGTAATGTTTGCTCAGATGTTTAAAACGAAATGTAAAGCGTTTAAAAAAACTCTATTGTTATTGAATCGAGCTAGAGTTCCTATTCGTAATACAACTCAATTAATTCGTTTTATTCGAATAGGAGCTCCAAGTTGAGTAGGCTCGAGTTAAAACTTGAATTTTCAAGTTCGAGCCGAGTTCAAGAAAATAGGACCTTAAATTGTTTTTAGGTAATATAAATAAAATAAAAGTATTATGAATTAATCATTCGTTACCTAAAAAAAATTTATGTAACATCAAGTTCGTTCGGAGCTTTACTATTGAAAAATGGTTGAAACAATTATAATAGTGACACCAAATATGTTTGGGAGTGATGATATCGAATAATAAATTGTGATTGTATGGGGAGGCATTCATTTTACCGACAATCATTTTACCGACAGTTCATTTTACCGACAACACACGGTGCGCCATTTAACCTCCACATATCAAACAACAAATAAAATGCTAAAATGGCGCGCCGTGTGTTGTCGGTAAAATGACTGTCGGTAAAATGATTGTCGGTAAAGTAATACGTACCCATCATAAAACTTATTACAAAGTTATTTTCCCAAGCATATTGAATTCAGGTCGCTTATATATAATTCAATTAATTATACAGTGCTTTCATCACTATCTAGTGCTTTCATCATTATTCTGTGTCTTTAACACATTATTGTGCTTTCAACATTATTCCATGGTTTAGACATGGATATGTAATCACGATTCAGTGTCTTTATCACAGAATAGTACTTTAAATACAATATCGTGTTTTAAGCGCCGAATCTTTATTAATTTCTATTAAGGAAAATAAATTAGGATAAAATAAATATATGCAAAATGTAATTAATATTTGTTTCCTCAAAAAAGGATATATGGTTAACCGACTAATACTAATCATTGTTATGCGATCATCAAAGAAAAAAAATTAACATCAACATCAAAATACCATAGTTGATATTACTATTTATTGTATATATAACATTGTATTAATGTTTATTTCCCGGATAATTGTTACACGACCATCAAGAATATTCTAGTTAATATTACTAATGGGGTAATAGGTAATAATATTATGTGTATTCGTATGTTTGTTTTTTTTTTTATGGTTGAATGATGGAATATTGTTACGCGACCATCAAAAATATTCTAGTTGATATATATTATTAATGGTAATAGGATTATTAATAATAATTCCTATCGTGTGTATATATATATAATATTGTGATTTCTACGGATCTATGGTTAAACGACCAATTATAGTTACATAGCCATCAAAGAAGTATAACCATTAATAATAATTCTTATGGTATATATAGCATTGCATTAATATTTGTCTTCTTCAAAAATCGGGATCTATGATTAATAAAAACACTCTTGTTATTATCGTTATTATCGAAACAACCTTTGCATGCAAGTCACAAATAAACCCAGCATTTAACGTCAATCCAAACACATAGCTTTATTCTGGTCTTGGTTCGTTAAGATGGTTATGTTCCCTTCCACTGTTGGTCTTACGTGCCCATGTTTTTATCACGTTATGCTATCCAAGTTTGGAAATTATCTACAGATCAGTAATGGCGCAGTCAAGGGACTATTTATTTATTTATAAGGAAAAAAAAAAGAGGCTTATCCATTTAGTAATTTTTCCCAAAACGCACATTAGTGTCAAAACAAGAAAGAATAAAAGAAGGTTAGGATGGTGGAAGAAAGGTTTATTGTGACTTTGTGTCCTCCAGATTGATAAAAAAAGATTTGTTTATTTCAACATCCAACAAAGTTTGATCCTAAACTCACCTAAGCTGTTAAGTAGTATTAATAATGTGTAGTTGGGGTTTGTATTCTATTAAAATTAGGATTTCTATTCGTAATACAAATTCTTATTCGAATACCATTAATTTTATTCGAGTAAACTTTCATAATAATAATAATAACGAATAATTCGAATAAACCTTATTATTATTAATAGCATATTATTATTATTATTATCATTATTATTCGAATAGAAACCCTAATTAAAATCAAAGTGTAACCACCTTAACGGTATCCGTGAATATAAGCCCTATGTGTAGTTCGATCTAATAATATATAATAATAATAATAAATCACTTTGAGGCTGTGGAGGATAAAAGTCTGCTATAAATACAATTTTTTCTCTTTAATTGGTAAAAATAAAAAATTTTATCTCCCAATAATGAACAATAAAAATTTTCTAAAGATATTATTGTTTTTAATTTCATCGTTGTTAATTTATTATGTAAATGCTGGTATAATAAAAAAATATAATTCTGATATTAAAGTGATCGATAATGCATTTTATGTTAGATTTACAACTTACAAATCATCAACATCATCCTCAGTGTCAATATCGTCAATCACATCAACAACAATTTCTTTTAAAAATGACACAGCTACCATTAATACTATTAATTTAAAAGAAATTTATAAATTACAACATAATGAATTTTATGAAGAATTAAAAATTCGTAATATTTCCATAAAAGTTCGTCATGAATTTGTTGATTTGATAAATGCAATAAGTTTTGAAGTTGAACATTTAAATCATCTTGAAATTATTAAAGATTTACCTAATGTTGATTCTGTTGAACCCATAGTATGTATCATCATTTATTTTTTTAGAATTACTAAGCAATTGAATAATATAATATTATATATGTACTTTTTAGATGATACATCAAGGCCCAAAATTCATAAATAAATCAATCAATCAAAATAATGGTTTAAACAAACGTGATTGGATTTCACATGCACCTTTAATATTATCATCAAAAATAGATCTTAATACGCCTCATCATATGACAGGTGTTGATTGGGTTCATAAACATCTCGATGTTACTGGAAGAGGAGTAAGAGTTGGTGTTATTGATACTGGTAAGTTATTTGCACATTTTTTGTTTTATTTGCTTTTATACATAAAACAAATAGATGATATGAATGAATTGATCTTGTAGGAATTGATTATAGACATCCAGCATTTGGAGGATGTTTTGGTCCAGGATGTAGAGTGGAAGTAGGATTTGATTTTGTTGATAATGATGATGACCCACTTGATAATTGTAATGGCCATGGTACTCACGTCGCAGGTATTATCGGTGCCATGGATGATGCAAGTGGACTTGTAGGTGTTGCTCCTGATGTAACATTTGGAGCATATAGAGCAATGGATTGTTCTGGTCAAGGCTCAGATGATGCACTTATAAAAGCATTGGAGCAAGCTTCACAAGATAATGTGGATGTTGTAAATTTGTCTTTGGTGATTATTTATTTTGCTTACTTGTGTATATATGTGTGTGTGTGTTGTTTATTTTTAAATTTGTTTGTTTGTTTATTTATTTACTATTATTTAAAAAATTAATATTAAGGGAGGAAATTTCTGGGCATCAACACCATTATCAGACTCAATAGGAAAAATGATAGAATCAGGCGTTGTAGTGGCTGTAGCAGACGGTAATAGTGGCCTTGATGGTCTTTGGAAAACAGTATCTTCAGCATTTGGATATAAATCATTGTCGGTTGCTTCTGTTGAAAATAGTCATTTTTTGGGTTTTAAAGCACATGATATAAATGACAATGATTGTTCTCTAGAATATTTAACAGTAACAGCAAGGGCTTTACCATTTGATAAAGGAGAGATTCTCATGTTTCCGAAACATTCATGTCCTGAAGATTTGTCAGTATATCATAATAAAATACTATATCTTGATTTATCTTCCAATAGCACATCGAAGAAAGATTGCCCTCCTGTACGTGTTTAACTTAATTTAAATGCTTTCATTTTATTGAGTTTATTCATGTAATAATAAAACTTATTCTCCATTTCTATTACAATGCTAGCTTCCGCCAGAATTTATTGATAAATTATTAGCATTGATAATATCAAAAGTTGATTTATTTGATCCAATTTTAGCAAATTTCGACATCAAAAGTTTAAAATTACCAATGGCTACGATATTATCACGACAAGCAAATAAATTAGTAGAAATATTGAAAAAAAATCCGGGTGGTTTAGAATTTGATTTTTCTGATAAACGTGGTTATATGATTCAAAGTCATGTTGGTGGAACTGTATCCTATTTTTCATCTTGGGGATTAACACCTTATCTAGACATCAAGGTATTAATCATTATTTATTTCTTTAATCAATCAATATTAAAATTAATACAATTAACTAATCTTTAATTTCATGTAAATGGCTGCTTTTAATAGCCAGTAAGTATATTTTACATACTGATTTTATCATCATCATCATTATTATAAATGCATTAATTATCTAATCTACTTAATAGGAAATAGCAGCTCCAGGTGGAATTATTTTTTCGACATTTCCAATAAATCTTGGTAGTTATGCAAATTTAATGGGAACGAGTATGGTAATTATTCAAATATTATTTAATATTATTTAAAATATATATATATACACACACACACACACACACACATTCATATATATTGTTATTTAGGCAACACCATATATATCTGGTGTAGCAGCTTTAATAAGACAGGCCAATAAAATAGAAAAAAATTCTCACCGTTTTATTCAAAAGGCTTTAATGAATTATGCGATACCAGTTCACGATCAAATATTCAAAATAGTCCCACCAGTTTTAAGACAAGGTGCTGGATTAGTAAATGTTTATAATTCAATTAGAGCTATGGCGTTTGTTCATCCATTCAAACTTGCTTTAAATGATACAGTCAATGGTAAAAAAGATGGTTATTATGACCTTAACATTGAAAACTATTGTGATAAACATTTGGAATATCGTTTAGTTCATATGCCAGCCGTTTCAGTAAATGGTTATGATGGAGAGAAACAGTTATTACTACAGGAATTGAAATATCGTAGAGAATATGCAGTTGTAAAATTTAAACGGGTGTTTATTAAAATTGAACCTTTTGGAAAAGAAAAAATAACATTAAAAATAACACCACCAAAAGATTTACCGTCATCTGAACATTGGTTTTATAGTGGATTTATAAAATTTGTTCCTGTAGATAGCGATGATCCAATTATTTCTGTTCCATATGGTATGTTCGTACATATGCGTATATATATATATATATATATATTATAATGATATCTTATTTTTTAATTTACATGATTTATTTAGTTGGATTAAAAGGTGCCGCAAAAACGTTACCAATATTTGCAAAACCACAATATCCACAACTTTACTACGACTCTAAATCATTATATTTTCCCAATGAAACAGCCACTTATGGAATGAAAAATGAAACAGATGCTCCAATTATATTAATATCATTATCAACACCAACAAAATTATTACTTGTACAGGTACTAGATGAAAATCAAAAATTGATAGGTTTTGTACCTGGTAAAGGTGTCGGTGGGCTTTTAGCCGGATATAATGAGTATCTTACAAAAACTGGTTCACATAAATTTTTAATATTACTTTGGGCTGGCTCAAAAAATAATGCTACTAATAGTGATGAAGATCCAGAAATTTTACCAAACGGTGCTTATCATTTGAGAATTCGTGCTTTAAGATTGTTGGGTGACATTGATAAAGAAGAAGATTGGGAAGTTTGGGTTTCTCCTAAGCTTATTATTCAAAGAGAATAAATTATTAACTAAGCATGTTAGCCGAAATTGCCTCTCTTAATAAATGATCATTGCCGAATCCGAAATGCCGAAATAATTACCAAAATCAACTTCATTAGTTGTCGAAATTATATCTGAGATTATTTGAATACTTTAACTCAATAGCCAAAATTCTGAGTAATTTTTTTATGTCTATTGATATAAAGAATATTTTATTGTAAAACCGAAATTGCTTGCCGAAATTGATTTTTTTCAAAAACCATTTCGGCTAACATCCTTAATCAGGAGTATTATGAGCCACCATTTGATGAGTAGCAAGAGCAGTATCAAAATTAAGGAGAGTTGGGTCATCAAAATCTAGAAAACAGAAGTTACACTCTTGTTCATTTCCTTGGGCTATTTCCAGAATTTTATATTCTAATCTCATATTGGCTTACTTGTTCTTTTGAACAATAAAAGCCTGGAACTTCTCTTTAGTTTTTTCTTATGCTTTATTTACTAATTTTTTGAGTTTGCATAATCTTTTAATATTACCATGAATTCTTGGCAGAAGACCATTGTTTATTAGATGATTTCTAATATTTTCAAAATAAGCCCTACCAATTCCTAACATATGAGATAAGTTTCTTGACAAAGAGGTGTATTGTAATCCCAATGATAGTAAGTTCTTTTATTAGATCTAGTTTTCTTTTTAAGGCATCTGCTAGTGCTTGTTAATCCACCATCCATTGCTTTAAGTTGAGCCATTAAAAATATGTCTTGTTCTGACCTGAAAACTAAGTGAATTGGTGATGTTTTTATAATATTCCAATACAAGGTGGAATTATTTACCAATGAGAGAAAAACAAACATTTATAGAACATATCCTTGAATGTAGAATTTGTTTGAAAACTCAAACATTTTTTTTATTGATAAGCAATGCAATATGGTGATCATCAATTACATTTACATAAAGGTGAATTTTCTTTGTACAGTGCAGGACACCTAATCCCGCAACTTACTGCGCCACGACGACGAATTTTGGGAAAAAATTTCCAACAAAAATGCAACATTCCATAAATAGTAAAATCGGCAATAAGAATAAACATTGGGTTACCTAATATGGATGTGATCATATATATATATATAAATCGCGTGTAACACGACAGTTTTGGGCTTAACATAGTAAACTCGTGCCATGGTAATGTGACATATCAACAAAATGAAATCGTAGCTTTGTGGAGAAAGGTCTTAGCTTCAAAATCATGTTTTGTTTTTTTGGTGTTACATTTCCATTTCTGGTATACTAAAGGATATACAAGACCAATAAAAAGTTGTGGGACTAGGTGTCCTGCACTATAGTAATAATAGTCAGTAAAAAAATAGATCAATATTGTAATAATAAGATTATTTCCCTTCTATGGATTTCTGCTTTTTGTTGGGTAATAGTATATCTTCATTCTGTTTTCTTTTTTTAATGTTTATTATTTTTTTTTCCTCTTGATAAATTTCATAGGTAATCCTTTCTTTTCTTAGATAAGCTTCTAGTGTCTGAGTATCATTTATTTTGAAAATATAAGGAGCAATTTTTTCACCTTGTTCTTTTTTCAAAATACTTCTAATGGTGCTGTAATTTTTGGGTTCCATGGTAGACCTAATGTAAATGAGTTTCATATTAGCTATTTTTGTCTAGATGAATATCATGATCATGTTACATTAGTGATATATAGTGATGACTAAATTTGATCCCTGAAATCCTTGGTAACACATATGTTCACTTTGTTTGGTTTTGTTGCAGTATGTCCCATATAATTTTAGCAAAGCATTTTAAAAATTTCATTATTATTTCTTCCAAAGCATAGTATTTTATCAATAAAAGAACATTTACCCACAGTATAAAAAAGTAAAAGTAAACACAATTATATGTGAAATTGAGCCACCAGGGCTTGCTTTATTGATGTGGTAAAAAATAAAGAAAAAATATATAAATATAAGGTGCATAAATGCCCAATTACATCATTATTATTGTTATTATTATTATTATTATTACAATCCTAAATTTTGGGGGTTAAAAATTTTTCGTGTAATAATTTAAAAAATTTTATAATCCTCGTGTACGGTTTTTCCTCCATCCTTGCCGACAACACGCGGCGCGCCATTTTAGCATTTTATTAGTTGTTTGATTATGTGGAAGTTAAATATAACCCCCGGTTTGTCGGTAAAATGAATGCCTCTCTATGCACATACATATCAAGAAATGAAGAATTTAAAGAAACAAAACTATTTATTTATTCATCCAACCTAATCTAAAAATTATTTATTATATATTTATTAATTATTTCACATCAGACAACTAATTAAATTATTATTACTACCCATATTATACATTATTATCTCTACCAATATTTTACATTATTAATTTTTTTTATAAAAAAGAATGGAAACACTTGAAGCTACAGATTACAGTTTTTTAACTTATGATCCCAATAATACTACAACTAAAGAAACGTCAACAATAGTACCATCAGCATCAGCATTGGAAAAAAAATCAAAGCCTAAAAGAAGCGTTTCATTTAAAGATCCCAAAAAAGCAAAGAATAAAAGAACAGCACAACTTCCATCAGATAGCGAAGAAGAAGAGGAAGAGGGGGAAGAAGAAGAAGAGGAGGACGAAGAAGAGGAAGAAGACGAAGACGATGATGATGATAAAGAAAAAAATATTGCAGCAGTTAAATATAATAAAAATAGTACTAAAAATAATAACTCCTCTGTTCAATTAAAAAGTAAGTCAAGAGATAAAGGTAATCAGCAACAAAATAATAGAAAAAAGGTAACGCTACAATTACCTTCCGAAAGTAGTGATGATGATGATGATGATGATGATGATGATGATGATGATGATGATAAAAATAATGAAGAAAAAATATTGTTAAAAGATCATTCAACCAATTTACTGACTGTAGATTTGAATATAGATTTTGGCTCATTAGTTCTAGATCCAAATACTGTTAATAATAATTCAAATACTAGTAATAATAATTCAAATGCTAAGAATAATAATGCTAAAAAGAAATCATCAACTATAGTAGAAGAGGAGAATAAAACTAGTGAAGAAGAAGAAGATATTGATGATATTATGAATAGACCAAGGAAAGTATTTAAACCTACGAAGAAAAGTGACAAAAAAATTAATCCAACAAATCAAAAAATAATTTTAAATAAATCAAGTGATGTAAGTAGTAGTGATGATCAAAATGGTAGCCAAGATTATGACGATGATGATGATTATGATGAGGAATTTAGTAATAATAAACTTGGCAGGTTTTCATCAGATGAAGAACCTTTAGCAGCTTTAATAGATGAGAATATTAATCCTAATTATTATGTAAGAGGAGGCAACAACAATCATTTTAATAATTTCAATCCACCTTCAAGATCAGAATCACCAAATCAATTTAGACCATTGTCACATTTTCCTCATGGGCATCTTTCAGCACGTGAACAAGAACTTATTGCGCGTGAAACTGGCTCTCCACTAATTAATCTACCAGAAAAACCTAGAAGTCCACAAACAGGTTTGATTGGTGCAATTGCTGCAAGAGAGGTTCATAGAAAATCATTAGGACCAGGAGTGTTTGCACGTCAAGCAGAAGCTGAAAGAGAGCGAGATTGGGAACATAGATTAATGGAACAACGGCAACAATTGTTGATTGCTGAGAGAGAACACAGCCTGCATAATCGACCTGGTATGGGACCTGGAATGGGAGGTGGTGGTGGAGTTGGTAATGGTGGTGGAAATGATTTTAGATCAAGTAGATTTATTTCTAATCAGCCATATTATGATTTGGCACCACCTATTAATTCACAAAGAAATTCTTATTATGAATATGCTGATGATGAGGATGATGAAGATGATGATGTGCCTTTAGGTGTTAGTGGTAATATCATACAAAAACAACAACAACAATTTCAGCAGCATCAGAGGCAACCTCCTCGCACCAAAAAAAATCAACAAAATGATTATGAATAAATAAATATTTCCTTTTTCTCTTATTTAAAGAGCATTATTTTTATTGTTGTTTATCCATTTAGAATCTATTTATTAATTGTATGTATTTTTTTATTGCTTATAAAAAGATTATGATTATTTAAATGTGTATGTATATGTATATCATCTATTATAATAGTAATAGTAATGGATAATAATAATTAATTATAATACAAAAATATAAATAATTAATTAAAAACAACTTGATTATTGTGTCAATTTTTCCTTATCATAAAATAAATTCATTTTCTTTTATCAATTCATTAATTCTATGTTACAAATTACAAATCTTTGATTTCATTACAATATTATTTGTTGTCAACTGTTCTACCTCTTCTTTTTTCTTTTCCTTGACTCATAAGCAACTGCATGATTTTCCACCATATTAATACATTCTTGATGTTTATCATGAGCAGCTGTTTGTAAAAATATGCATTATTGTTATTGTTATTGATGATAGTAATTTCATTAGTAATTGTAGTAGTAGTAGATGATGAAGAAGGAGTAGAAAAGGATGAGGAGGGTGATGTTGATAAAGAAGTATCTCCTTTTGGTTGTTTTAGCATTAATGATTGAGGTGTATGAAGTAGTGGTATTGGTAGATGACATATTGCTGTATAATTGGTGCTGATGGTCTGGCAATAAAAGATTTAAACAAGTATTATTAGTGTTAGTATTTATATTAGTGGTTATTGTAGTGATGGTGATGGTGGTGGTGGTAGCAATTGGAGGTGAACATTTATGTTGATATGAATCAGAATTTTTAATAGCATTCTTTTTCGTGATATTAGGTACAATAGTGGCATTAGGGAATTTTATTATAGAAAGAAATTGTGTTGTCATTGTCATCATTAATACTATATCATTATTAATGTTGTGATTGTTTCTCTTGTCTATGAACATTATTATCATCATCATTATTATTGGTTATTTGAACGGCGGAAGAAGGGTTTTGCTTCTGTTAATGAAAATTGGAACAATTTAAACCACTACCAATGCTGCCACTGCTGTTATTATTGATTTAAAGAAATATTAAATTGTTTAATGCTATTCCCCATTCAAACATGTAAAAAAAAAACAATAATGGTAAAGACATTCATTACACGGATCATTAGTTAGTATTAGCAAAGTCACAGTCATTAGAATTTATTGATTTTTAAAGATTGATACAAAAATTTGACAATTATAAAAAAGTATTCTTTTTCTTTAAAAGTGTCATTTGAACTTATAGTAATAATAATAATAATAAGATGTCTGTTCAACTATTAGGATATCTGATACAGAAAGTCAGAGTAATTGTTTTTTACAATTAGATGAAGAAAACAAGGAATTATCAAAAGGTGAAAAGGAATATTTAGGAAAAAAATTCAATATGAACTTGTATTAAAGAATGTTCCTTGTTACGATATAACTAAATTTTCAGATAATTGAAATTATGCAATTGTTCTAAATTGTATGAACAAAGGAAATTTAGGAGATTGGTTAAAAAAAAAGATTCAAGTTAGATATTTAAGGGTTTATGCAATGCATTATATTATATTATTGGCTTGATTAAATCATCATTATCTTTATTGTTGTTACTTAAAAAAAAAAATTAACTATTGAATTTTCTTTATATAAATATTCTTCAAATATGATTTATGAATAGTATATATATAATGTTCTATTTTTTAAGCAATATAAACTAAAATATATATATTCAAAAAATTTGATAATAACACCATTCTATTGATTTTCTTTACTTGCTTAACCTTGAGCATAACTCCTAGTCCAATCTCGAGCTATTCATTTTATTTATAATATATACATTAGAAAAAAAAATCAATTAATTTTTCAATTTTTATTATGTTCAATCCTATCATAATTAATTAATTAACTAGTTGTTAGTTAGTTTACCTGTTGCAATTGCAGCCTTTTCATCTTCTTTCCAATGTTGTGCAACATCATTAGCAAGTGGATCATCAGGATTTGGAGCAGATAAAAGTGCTTGTATAGAAAGAAGTACAGTACGAATTTGTAAAGCTGGTGACCACTTGTCTTAAAACAAAAACAAAACAGTAATGGTGATGATGATGATGATGATGATGATGATGATGATGATGATGAGTATGTATAAAGTGAACATATATATTCTCCCCCAAAAAAAAAGAAAATACCTTTTAAAATATCTAAACAAATTCTTCCAAGTTTATCAATATTTGGATGATATATTTTAGTTATAAAACGTACTTTAGGTGGTGCCATTGGATATTCCTCAGGAAGAAATAGTTCCAATTTAAAAACTCCACCTATTTTTTTTCCAGAAGTATATTTTTATTAGATCATGTCATTATTCATTATTATATATTATTGTTTAGTATTATTAACCTTCAAATGGTGACTGAGTTGGGCCAGCTATAATAACATCAAAGTATCGAAGGTTTTCTTCATGTGGTATTGCACTTATACCAGGAGCTGGTTCCTGTATTAAACGTTCAGTCTCCTAAAAAAATTGAATAATAATAATAATTTATCTTTTTTACTAATTATCAATATTACAATAATTACAACAATACTGCTGAATACTACATACAACTTTAAGATATAAGAATTATTTGTATTATTTATACCTTGATTATTCTTTTTGGTAAAGACATTTTTTAAAAAAACCCTTTTTATAATTGCAACAATGATTTATATATATATATATGCTGTATAGTTTAAAAAAGAAGAGAAAAAAGTTTGCATAAGCAACCAAAAATGGAAAGATGATATACCATTTAAGAAATGAATTGACATAATTCAATCTATTTTATGTTTAACTAGAATCACGTGAAGTCCTGTTTTTTGAAAAATTTTATTACATTTTTGAACGAATTACGAAATTGTTATTCTTGAAATTTGTCCACATTGCGCAGCAATATTTTTTAATCAAAATCACGTGTAACCATTTTTTTATTGCATTTTTGAACGAATCACGACATTGCAATTTTTGAAATTTGAGCACGTGACGCAGCAACAGGAGGTCTTTAGACCGAGCCAATCATGTATAGTTCCTTCTATAAAAAATTATCTGGTGTATATATATATATATATATAATCAATATTTACTTTTTATCATTTTTATATACACTAATCAATGTTTGTTGTAAATAATTATTTACTATGTATGTATTATTAATTTCAATTACATACTAATACATACATTGAATAAACGACACTGGAATTATGCAACAAAAACAACAGGCAAAATACCAATAATAACAATAATCACTATATATTATTATGGTGATATTTTATGTTGTTGTAATGAAAGGCTTTAAAAAAAATTTTTTTAAGAAATAAACAAAGTTAAATAAATGTTGTAAAAAAAATATACTAATTTCAATTCCAGAAATACTCTGGAAATATTTGTAACGGCAATAAATTACATGAAAACTATTCTATTATTAGCATTTAACTAATAGACAATTGAAATTGTTATTGTTTTTTTGTTATATATTAATACTAATGCTAAAAATACTAGAAACACATTTTATGAATTATCTTTGACGATTTTTGATTAGTTGACAATTGAATTGGTTATTGTTTATTACTAAAAAAACATTTTACAAATTATCATTTGTCTTGTTTTCTTTTGTGGTGCGAAGCATCTTTAGGTTTTTTCGTAACAATGATAAGGAAGTTAATTATCCTGTTTCCTTTTCAAAAAAAACCTTGGTCAGTTTTTTTTAACAATGACCAATTCCTGTTTTTATAATTCACATAACATCATAAATAAAAATTTTCTTCATTGAATAAATAACAACATGGTTGACTAATTTTGATGCTCAGAAGAATATATATATAAGTGATTGAGTCGTGTGATTTTATAATAATTGTGACATCAAAGATATAATTG